AACATTGTAGGTAGATACATCTCATTAAGTAGAAGTGCAGTGTTAAGGAACCATAACTCTGTTAAGCCTCATTTTTGAATTATCTTCCCTTTTAGAAAATCTTATCCAGGACATAACTGTAAAACTATAAGAGATATCGACATGAAACTTTTAGATATATCTCAATAGGTAGATGTGCAATGCACAAGAATCATAACTCTGTCTTGCTTAATTCTGGAGTTATTCGCCGTTGTTTATTTTTACATTTTGAAGTTGTCCTGGACAAAACTCAAAAACATAAGAGATATCAACAAAAAACTTTGTAGGTTGATAGATCACATTGATTAGAATTGCAGTGTAAAGAACAGAAACTCTGCCTTGCCTAATTTTGGAAAAATTGCACTTTGAACTTTTTCCAGGGACATAACTCAAGAGGTATACTTCCCTGTGTCCAAAACCTATTTGGGGAGCATTACCCGGCTCAAACCGGTCGCTTGTAGGTATGTCGCTAATCTACTTCATGTTTAGGCCAAAAAAATGTTTGTTTAGGGTAACCCTCCCAAAATTGCTAGGTAGGGTTGGTAGGGATAATTTTAATATCTTTTTTTTTTTCAAAATCTGTCTTGGGTTCAGAGTGTTTTCTTGCACATGGCAGTCTTTCCTACGCTACTGTCATTGCCTGACTTGTATTATAATATTTTATCATATAAACAATAATTCTGATTAAAATCTGCATAGCTTTAATGCCATTTAATGTTATTTAAACACTTAATAAAGACAATATACCCAAACATGTGTTATTTTTTGATGTTTGTTTGCTGCAGGCACGACTTTAATGTTTGACTCTAACCTGAACAGCGAACAGTGCAGATTCTCATCAGCTTGCATATTTACAATTCTGCTGATCAAAGTCTGCATTGGTTGCAAAGGGCAGATCAATCCTCTGCTAGCATGGAAGGATTTAAGCACAATAAAAGAGCTAAAATGACATGCTTTGATCTTATTTTCAAAGTTTTAGTTAAAAAATCTAGACTTATTCTGTTTTTCACTATTTGATAGTCATGCATTAAATACTGCACATGAAAAATTGTAGTGCTGATATCTTGAATCTCTAACAGTATTACATAGTGTATATTTTGACACTATGGTACAATTTAACAAAATCTATAATTTTGATTTGCACTTTTGAAACACTGGTTCACATAAAAAGTGCAAACACTTCTTTGTGTAAAAAGACACATTTGTCAATCAAATACTGTTTATTTTCTATCTGATACATGTATGTCAACATATCAAAGACAATAGCCAACCTTTTTGATGAATTGGCATTTCGTAGATGTCATTCAAAGTGTCGTCTAATAGTATCAATGGCCCGTCTGAAAAAGCAAATACTAGATCTCAAAAAGACATGGAAAATGGGATACATTTGTGACGGTGTGAAACAAAATGATGCACAGTACAGAATCAGACTCCAAGTCTGGCTAAAAAAAATCAGTATGCAAAAGAGGATGAACAAGAAATGTGTCCATAGGACACGGATGCCCCCACGCCACTGTTCTGTCAATCTTGTAACTCTAGGTCAAATATTTTTGGACTACATGTGACACAAATTGAATCACTAAAAATCAATAAAGGGTCATAATTCTGTTAAAAATCGGTCGCAGCAAAAATTCCTTCCTTTACTACCATCTACACATTAAGGTTGTTAATCACTGGAAGTTTAAGCAAAATCTGCCATTCGGTTTAAGAGGAGTTGTGTTCACAAAATTTCTACATATTATATAGTGAAAAAATCAACAAAGGGCCATAATTCTGTTAAATTTGGTCGCAGCAAAAAATCTTTCCTTTACTACGATCTACACATTAAGGTTGTTCAGCCCTGGAAGTTTAAGCAAAAACTGCCATCCGGTTTAAGAGGAGTTGCGTTCACAAGATTTCGGGACGTACGAACAGACGTACGGACGGACAAGTGCAACGCTATATGCTCCCACTTTGTGGGGGCATAAAATTATACTTGATAAGCTTTGCAGGTCTCCAGAATAGCTTTGTAAATATGACCGGTGGCTATACTTATACTCAAGTGCACTTGATTTTCAGTGGGACTACGGTCTAATTTGCCTCTAACTACTATCTGAACTTGTACTGGTTTAATAAATTGCAACACTTTCAATTTTCCAGTCAAGCTGAAATGTGTAACTTCAGTATTATTTTCATTTTAATCTGTTTATTCATTTTGAAGTGTGGCACAGGACATATCAAAACAGCTTTTCAAATTTTAAAATATTAAAAGCAATGAAAACAAAATTAATGAAAGATAGAAAATAACAGACTCGGTTTTAATGCATCTTTACCTATCAAAGCAGTATTAAATGAAAAGAGTATTACATGCATGTTGTTAACTTAGTAGCACCACGTACGGTCAGCAGCATTTCATCTGCATGACGTAACCTGTTACCATGTCGAGATAACTTAATAGGCCTGAATAAAATTTACTCTTAAGTGGAGGGAATATTCATAGACAGAAATGTCAACATGCGGCGGAGGTGGGCTGTTTCCGCGTGCTGAACCCACAAATGACTTTTTCGAAATTGGAAAGCCAGATACGATGCCTCGATGGGTTGTTGGAAATTTTCCATTAAAAAAATGAAGGTACTGTCAAAGATAAATGGTGCTAATTTTTTTGAAGTTTAAATTTAATGTCAGAGTCGATATAAAAACACAAGCCGCAAGCTAACAAGACAGATTTTTTCAAGAACACGACATTGCTGAGCGGCATTTCTGTCTAAGTTCAAGTCAGAGTAATTTTTTTCGCCATGTTGCTTGTCATACCTACCAGTTTCCAATAGCGTGATATTTATTGGACCGCAATACATCACGAGCCAATCAAAGCACGTATAACAAAAATGACCAATCTTAATCGTCTGAGCGTTTCACTACAGCGTCTCAAGCGTTTTATTCGTATTTATCCGCCCTTTGAAACTCTCTATTCGCTAACAATTACATTTGTTTTGCTCAGTAACAGAAATAAATAGTTAGGGTCGACGCATTTTTATAGGTAGGGCCGCGTTACCCGAAACAGACATATTTTTTAGACCTTGCTGACTTAGTTAAATTCATAATAATGGTACGATTTTTCCTAACAATTTACTTCTTATGACAGCCTCTTGATATTTGGTATACAGCATTGATATGATTTCAGTTATGTGGCTCATACACTTTCCATTTGCTGACCTAGTTGAATTTTTGCATTAATTTTAAATGGAAGGAAATTTCCGTAACAGTTTTCTTGGCAACTACATATCACAGCATCTTGATATTTGGTATTGTGACTGCATTAACACGTTGCCTAAATTTCATGTCTATTGCTTATCCACTTCCTGTTTACCGATTTAGTTAAATGTGCGATATTTATGGTCAATGGTAGGACATTTTTGTAACGTCACAGCCTCATGAGTCATGTTATTTGGTATTGAAATGCAACCCTGCCATTTTTGTCTTTGACCCATTTTTAGCTCACCTGTCACAAAGTGACAGGTTGACCTTTTCTGGTCGCTTTTAGTCCGGCGTCCGTCCGTTGTCCGAATGTCATGGCGAACGATAGGACACTTGTTGGGTACCTTGAACACACGATAGCACACTTTTTGGGTAATTCTATTCATTCCGTCAGTACTGTTGGGTACTTTTGTTCTCTTATTGGGTATTTTCAAACAAAAGAAATACCCAATAAATGACCATTCGTAGGAACGTCGTCCGTCCGTCCGTCGTCCGTTAACCTTTACTTTAAATGACATCTCCTCATAAACCACTAAGCCAATTTCATCCAAACTTCACAGGAATGTTCCTTTGGTGGTCACCTTTGAAACCCGGGGGTCATTTATTTTTCCTAAATGCAAATAGTAAAAACTTAAAAATCTTCTTTTAAAGAACCCAAAGAGCTAGAGCTAAGATATTTGGCATGAAACATGTTCTAATAGATGTCTACCAAATGTATTCAAATAAGAGCCCTGTGGTCAAAATTGTCCCCGCGCCAGGGGTCATTGATTTTCTTCTTTAAAATCAAAAAAATAGCTAGAATTTAGAAACTAAGCATGAAACATCTTCTAGTGAGTGTCTACAAAGTTTGTTCAAACAATAGCCCTGGGGTCAAAATTGGCCCCGCTCCGGGGGACATTAATTTTCCTTATATGTGTATAGCAAAAACTTAACAATCTTCTTTGAAAAAAAAAACAAAACAAATAGCTAGAGTTTAGATATTAAGCATGAAACATTTTCTAGTAAGTGTCTACAAAGATTGTTCAAATAAAATCTCTGGGATCAAAACTGGCCCTGTCCCAGTGGTGTCATTGTTTTTAACTATACGTGTATAGCAAAAACTTAAAAATCTTCTTTTTAAAAAGCACAACGAGCTAGACCTTAGGTGTGTAGCATGAAACATCTTCTAATGGGTGTCTACCAAGTTTGTTCAAATAAAAGCCCTGGGGTTTAAACTTGCCCCACTCCGGGGACCTATATACAGGTGAGCGACTTCAGGGCCATCATTGCCCTCTTGTTTTTGATAATATGATAGTTTCATTTAATCCTGATGTAACGTTATTACAATCAGTTCAAATGCCACTAAAGGAACATGTACAGGAACACTGATAATGAATAGCCTATATTTAAGAAGAAATTGCCTAACTGACAGCTATACTGTTGACAAGGCAAGGCATCCGACTCGTGGAGTTTTAGTCTATAAAGAATATAATGGGGAAAATATCAGGACTTTCATTTTACTTCCACACTGTTCCAGATAATCAGCTTATAGAAATTTGCCTCGTAGAAGTTCTATTTGGACACTTTATGGTAAACAAATGGACTGAAAAAACAAATATTACTTTATTCAATAGACATTTTTGAAAATTTAATTAATTAAACACAATTATTTGTATTATTATTTGTGTAATAGGAGATAAAAAGACTCAAGGTAGAAGATTCTCCTCAACAAAAACAGATAGAATATGAAAAGGCAAAATCAGGTATGTTACATAGAATATGAAATGGCTAAATCAGGTGTGTTATATAGAAAATGGAAAGGTCAAATCAGGTATGTTAAAAAGAATATGACTATGCATATGAATATGTTGTCAGATTTGAAAAGACTAAATAAGGTATGTTATATATTATTGAAAAAGGCTAAATCAGGTATGTTACATAAAATTTGAAAAGGCTAAATCAGGTAAGTTATATAACATATGAAAAGGCTAAATCAGGTTTGTTATATATTATATAAAGATGCTAAATCAGGTATATTATATAAAATTTGAAAAGGGCTAAAATAGAGAAAATGAGAATCCCTAAAGAAAGCCCGAAACAACAAAATTGAAAATGTTGCAGGCTTTGTTTGATTGAGCCTGTTTATGGACAGTACCGTAAGTGCAAACTACCGTCCAAGCCTCCTAGCATTGCCTTAAGCAGAATTCAACATTTAAACATGAAATGATAAAATTTGCATTAAGGAACATCAGTAGATATGTTCATATGGCGGTTGTCAATGCGACACTTCCGTGCCATTCAATGGTCCCCAACTATTAGAAAGCGTGTGCCTCAGGTATGTTATATAAAATATGACAAGGCTTAATGAGATATGTTATATAGATAATGAAAAAGCTAAATAAGGTACGTTATATAAAATATGAAAAGGCTAAATCAGGTATGTTATACAGTGTATGAAAGGGCTTAATCAGGTATGTTGTACAGAATTTGAAAAGGCTAAATCAGGTATGTGATAATAAAAACACTTAATCAAGTTTCTTATATAGAATATGAAAAGGCTAAATCTGGTATGTTATATAAAATATAAAAAGAATTAATCAGGTATGTTATATTATAGAATATGAAAAAGCTTAATCAGGAATGTTACATATGATGTTATATATTATATGAAAAAGGCTAAATGAGGTATTATATATATTATATGAAAAGGCTTAATAAGGTATGTTATATAATAAATGAAAAGACTAAATTACTATTTAATTAGGTATTTAATGCAGGATATGTAAAGGCTAAATTCAGGTATGTTATATACTAAGGCGGAAAAAATCCCATTTTGGCCTGCAAAAATCCAAAGCAAAAAATGTTTTAAATTTGGAATGTGTCTTCATACAAAATGAGTTTCCGTTTCAATTCTTTTGAAATTATTGAGACTTGGAGATAAAATTTATCAACAGAAAAAGAGAATTTTATTTAAAAACTGCCTGACTGATATTCCGTGCTTATGTGCCTAAATTAAACTGTTGTCTTTATTTTTGCACAGTAAGTGTTTTGGGCCTGTAATAATCTGTCCATGGAGGTCCATAATAATTTTCTGTATCATTAACACATTGATTTGTTCTTAACAATTGAATGTCATATTATCATTTGAATTACAGAATGGCGGGAAAAGCTGATAGAACAGTATCAAAAAACCCTGCTGCAAGTTCCTACAACACCTTTACAGCCAAAAAGTGAAAAATGTAGCTTTAATGAGATTTATATTAGACCAAAAATAACCAAGGACATAATTAGAGATAAAGGTGAGACAGAGGAGGTGGAGGTTAGAACAATGTCAGAAATCTTCACAAAGGACGGAGTCCCCCAAAAATCTGTATATGTTCTAGGAGATGCAGGGTCAGGCAAAACTAGTTTTTGTAAATATCTTGTCAACTGTTGGTGTTTGGCACACAGTGAGGAACATGAAGCAGACAATGAAAACGAAGATGGCAATGAGATGCATGTGGGTGGAAATAAAGAACATGGAGGTGACAATAACGAACATGACAATGAAACTGAAGGAAGTCAGAAACATGGAGGTGACAATGAAAATAAAGGTGATGATGAGATACATAGAGAACATGGAAATGACATTATAAATGAAGAGGTTAACAAAGAACATGGAGGAGATATGGAAAATGAAGATGACAATGAAGAACATGGAAATGACAATGAGAAACATGGTGGTAACAGTGAGGAGCATGGTGGTGACAGTGAGGAGCATGGTGGTGACAGTGAGAAACATGTAGGTGACAATGAGGAGTATGGTGGTGACAGTGAGGAGCATGGCGGTGACTGTGAGGAGCATGGTTGTGACAGTGAGAAACATATAGGTGACAATGAGAAACACGGTGGTGACAGAGAGAAGCATGGCAGTGACAGTGAGGAGCGTGTTAGTTACATCGAAGGAATTAAAAATGTTTGGTTTGATATAATTAATTATTTCATGTCGAAATATGAAAGTGAAACATATGAACAAATATTCAAGGGTGTAAATGAGATAAAGGAATTTGATTTTGTATTTTACATCCCTCTTAGACAGTATCAAAACATTGATACTATTGATGAAATGCTTCAAAAACGTTATCAAATGAAAATGTTAAACACACTTCTTGAAGAGGAATCCTCTACAGTTTTGATTTTGCTCGATGGCTTAGATGAATGGTCCTCTGAAAATGTCCCAGAACATAGCATTTTTAAGGAGTACACAATAGTAACTACTTCGCGGCCATGGAAATTTCATACATTAAGATCGAGTGATGTGGAGATTGAACAGTTGCTGAATCTGAAAGGGTTTGATTTAAGATGTCAAAGAGAAATGGTAAATAGGACAGTCTCACAATTAAATAATAGAAGACATGCTAATAAAGAAGCTAGAGACTGCATGGAAAAGCTAGAAGAAGAGTCCTTGAAAAGTTTAAAACAGGTACCAATTATGTTGCAGCAACTGATTTGTCTATGGTTTGATGGTAAAATTGATAAAACCTCAAGATGTGCCATCTACACAGGTATGTTAGAGTTATTCTTCACCTGGAATGACATGAAAACTACAGGAACAAGTACTCGACACATGAAGGGTACCCAGAAAGTAAACCTCCCTCAATATTTAGCCGATAAAACCAAATTAAGATTAAACAGCCATTTAATTTATGAAGTATCACGGTTGGCTTATGAGACACTATTTAATTGTCCGAAGGATAAATCCTTGACATTTGACATTTGTATGTTTGATGAACTAGAAATATCAGATGAAGTAAGAGAAAATTGCTTGAAACTTGGAATATTGACAGAAGATGAATGTCAAAGTTTATCTGTATCAGAACCACCAAGCTCATTGTTCTCTTTTATTCACAAGTCAATGCAAGAATTTCTGGCTGCAGTAAATATTTGCATCAATTTCAATGCAAAAATAAGTTCATCAGATAGTACAGATAATGTTGAATTAGCAAAAAAGTTTATTAATAAGGTTTTTCAGAAATGTTCAACAGTAAATGACATATTAGAGCAATCAAATGATGTAATTATGCTATGTGGTCTAGAACCAAGATTAGCAGCACATGTTTCAAAATACATATATGATACTGTGTCAAAAGACTCTATCGTTCAGGAATACAGGAGAACAATAAGTAGTGACATTTATGATACCATTAATAAGGATCACCATTGTATTACTGATATTCAAAAGTTTATGTTTAACGCAATGGAAGAACTTAAAGCAACATGTATTGTAGTAAGTAATCCTGTATTTTATATAGGAGATTTAGTCATTGATAGTCAGGGTCAGTATTGTGATATTGTTTGTTCAGGTATTGATCAGCATCAAATTGTTCCTGGCTCCGTTCTGTCTTTTTGTGTAAAAAACATCAGCAAAAAAAATGTTAAATTTACAAAATATTTACCAATGTTTCATCATCTTGAAAAAATTGGAATAGAATATGAAATTGGATCAAAAATGTTAACAAGTACACACAGTGATAGTACACAGAGTAATGAACAGTTGATTGATGAGGTAAACAATTGTGTTTCTGAGACAATTAAAGTAAACACTTTTACATTAAAATCTCTGACTCTTCAGCATGTCTGTGAGGAGTATTACCCAATTTTTAAAACAGTTGTAAGTTACGTACCTAGTATGATCAATCTTGTAGCGATACGAATGACTTTTATAACAATGAGTCAAGATGATACTATTACATTTTGTAATTTTCTTGAGAGAACCAGTCATCTTGAACAAATACATCTTTTAATGGTTAAATGTGAGTGTGAGAACCAGCATGATGTAAATTTATCAAAACATCAACCACTTCAGTACCTTCATTTGTTTGATACTGTTAGTGTGTTAGATGCTGATGCTACAAACCTTGAAATATTTAGATTTTGGGAATTGAAAAATATTAATTATGAGAAAATATTTGATATTATTAGAAAATCTTACAAATTAAAAGAACTTGTATTGAATGGAGAATATCACAATAAATCTAAATTATATCATACCAACATAACAAAGAGACTAGTCATAGTAGTATCATTGTTACACAATCTCAGTAAGCTTGTGTTAGGGCTTTGTAGGTTAACTGACAATATAATACAGTCTCCTTTAGAGATGAAAAGGTTAAAGAACATTGAGCTTAATAAGGTTATAATGAGTTTGACAACATGGCAGAAATTTGTTGATAGTCTACCTCATATTCCTCATACTGTAAATGTGATTGTATGGCTCTGTTATATAACAGGAGATGGTGAGGAGTTTAATGATGATATGTTAGCATTGACATCACGAGGAGGACTTAGTGGAGAGAAGGGAAATGATGCTATACAGTATGTAAAGGATAGAGAGTTATTTCATGTTAAACGTCGTGGTGATTGGTTCGACCTTTCAACTAAAAAGTGATAAAATAGTATACAAGTAGTTAATATTGTGGTTAAAATAAATCATTGCATATTCAAAAACATAAATTTAGTTTTCATTTTCACTACAAAAAAAAAGATTTGAAATTAAAACAGATGATACATGCCTTTAAATTTTCAACAAGAAAGTGATAAAGTATCCGTGTAGTTACACTGTGTTTGAACTAAATTATTGCCTGTTAAAATAGATGATAAATGTGATTTTTTTGTTTAAAAACAATGATTTGAATTTTTATCAAAGAGGATACATGCATTGAAATTTTCAACAAAAATGTGATAAAGTATCCATTTAGTTACATAGTGTTTGAAATAAATAATGTTGTTGTTTATTTACCTTTTCAACAAAAAAATGGTTTGAATTTTTAACATAGTGAGATAGAATGCATGCACTTAACAAAGTGTTCAGACTAAAAAAACAGGTTTTACCCAATAAATTTGGGTTTTTTTTATATTTTAATCAAAAAGGAGATCTTAATATTGTAGTAAACAATCATCATAAACAGTCCATTAAATACTAACTTCTGGTCAATGTAACAAAATGTATTTATAATATTGAAATTGAAGAAAATAATGTTCAAATTGTGTTTATAAATAAAAGTAAGAAATGCATTGAAATATAATACATCATTTGATCTTAATAAGAGTAAAGGTTTTTTTTTGAAGATCAGTGATAGTTTTTGAAAAAAAAACTGATTTAAAAAATTAATGTTCTAATTATGAATACATAAATATATATGTAAATAAACAAGTGAACAAATGAATGAATAAGTTATTAAATAGAAATATCACAGATGTTTAATGTGCAAGGTAAGAAAAATTAAAAGAAGAATTTTACATTCAAATACCAGTTATATGATATAATATATGATAGCATAAGAGAATGGTATATGTAAATACCGGTTATATGATAAATATGTCAAGAGAATGGTATATATCAATACAAGTTATATGGTATATATGAATACCAGTTATATGATAAATAGGAAAGTGAATGGTATATATGAATACCAGTTATATGATATATAGGAAAGTGAATGGTATTTATAAATACCAATTATATGCATAAAGGATTAGGGAATGGTATATTTATGAATACCAGTTATATGTTATATAATACTAAGGAATGTTATATGTAAATACCTGTTATACAATATTTAGACAATGGAATTATTTATATTAATACCAGTTATATGATATCTAGGACAATGAAATGGTATAAATATGTTAAATATGCAAATGAAATGGTATATATCAATACCAGTTACAAGATACATGTATAAAGGAAAATGTAATGGTGTAAATGAATACCAGTTATATGTTATATAAGACAAAGGAATATTATATGTAAATACCTGTTATACAACATTTAGACAATCAAAATTATTTATATTAATACCAGTTATATGATATAAAGGACAATGGTTATGGTAATATATTTATATGATATACTAGTATGGGAATGTAAGCAACAGTACCCATATTTTTCATTATAAAACATATATTTGCCTTTTTTACAAATATCTATTCATTTCTGAGTCATAACGTGCCTTTAATATTTAAAACTGTATGTATAGGGTAAATTAATTTTTACAGTATTAAAGTAAACATAATTATGATAACATAAAAACCATGTTATGAATTGTTTACTAGGTATTTGGATGTTTATGTGTATGTTATGCCTAGATATGTTATGTCTTATGAAAACATGCATCAAACATGTATGTTTGTTACTTAGAATATAGATTAAATATATCATGTACATTTGTTAACCTTTATTTACATGTACATGATAAACAAATCTATATTGGCCATGTTTAAAAAACTTATATGAAGGTAGGATAAGTCAATGCTACAATATGTTATGTCAATTGAACATAAACATTTAACATGAATGTTTAAAACTTGAAATGTACATTGAACAGTATCTAGTAGACATTATTCTTCTATCATGAATAAAAACTTGTTTGACAGCACTTATTATTTTGAAACTTGCACAATTTTATTCACTTGAAACTTTGATTGACTAACTTAAATAAGTCGGTTTTATTGGAAGAAAATAAAGTTAATAAATTTCTTAAGATTTAGACCTTGGTTGACTAATATATAGTTTGATGAATTACATGTAATTCTAGGTTAAAAGTTTAAATTTTATCAGAATGGATACAACACATCTATCTTTATTGAATTTATCATACAATGGTGGCATGTATTCCAGTATAGAGAAATGTTAACAAAATGTAAGCAACATATAACATTTATAACTTGTCTTAGAACCTTTATGAGAACATTGTTATTCTGTTGGTTTTGTTTAATTAGAAGTTTATAAATGTAATACTTTATCTATTTGTTTGATTATATTTGATAGTATGAATGATTGTGTAACTTTACTTAATAAATATTTGTATAAAATTGATTTGTCTATTATTGCTTTCCTATCTCTTACAGAACTAGTGTAGTTAAACACTTGTTGGATGTTTTTCTTCCCACATGTTTCTTAGTAAACAAAAACTAAGCTGTCAGTACATAAACAATGTTATCTATAATATATGCAGACTACTAAGAAGAGACCTTGACCTTTCCACTTTATCCATATTACAAATACTAAGCTGTCAGTACATAAACAATGTTATCTATAATATATGCAGACTACTAAGAAGAGACATTGACCTTTCCACTTTATCCATATTACAAAAACTAAGCTGTCAGTACATAAACAATGTTATCTATAATATATGCAGACTACTAAGAAGAGACCTTGACCTTTCCACTTTATCCATATTACAAAGACTAAGCTGTCAGTACATAAACAATGTTATCTATAATATATGCAGACTACTAAGAAGAGACCTTGACCTTTCCACTTTATCCATATTACAAAGACTAAGCTGTCAGTACATAAACAATGTTATCTATAATATATGCAGACTACTAAGAAGAGACATTGACCTTTACACTTTATCCATATTACAAAAACTAAGCTGTCAGTACATACACAATTTTATTTATAATATATTCAGACTACTAAAAAGAGACCTTGGCCTTTACACTTTATCCATATTACAAAAACTAAGCTGTCAGTACATAAATAACGCTATGCACAATATATGCACTTTACTAGGACTGAGAGATTGACTCGTGAAATAGAACTGGAATAGAAGCAATTTCCGTGTTAAACATATTTAATACAAATACTATTATCACCTGCAGTAACAATTTCGCAACCAATGGTGTATTTTTATACCATATGTGACGTCATACGATGGGTAACCACTAACATCTTAAATAAACCGTGACTGGTTTACCAAATGCATAAATATAATATATATTCAGGGTGTAGGTGTTTATGCCATCATATGTGACGTCACATATGACGTTATAAAAAGTATATCATTGGTTTCGAAATTGTTACTGCACATGACATGATCCGGGCGTTCAAAGTACTGTGTGTTAAGTTGATTCTATGATCCGGATGCATTATTAGTAAGCCAGTATGGTTTCATTGTTTTTTTCCTGGTCTTTCTATTCATTTACCCATCATATATGATGTCACATATGACATGGAAACTGTTACTGCACGTGATATATTCCGAGTTTTCTCCTTACTGTGTGTAAAGTTCATTCTTTGACCCAACTTCATTACGAGTAAGCATATAGTTCCACGAAGTTTGCCTAGTATTTCTATTCATGATTCGAATACTTTTAACTCTATGAAGTGGATGCTGGTAAAACACAAGTTATATCAACACGTATCATTATCATTATAGCATCTTAAGTTTACAACACGTGTCACTATATATGTGGAGATACATAAAACGTGACACTTTAAAGAAGATGATATAGCTCACATATTTGGTTATGGTAGGTCCAGAAAAATGTCAGGTCCTGTGTATATCTGTGATATTTTAGTGTCCACTGGCTAAAGAACCAGAAGAAAGTTCTGGAATTGGGGCATCTTTCTATATCTGCATCTTGCACTCTACAAACATCTAAAATGACTAATATTCTTATGGAGGACTCTTCCATATGGGCAGTCAGTGGCGAGTATAATATATACCTCAAACATATAAGTTATATTATTTAATATCATTAAGAAAAACACTGAAAATGAGCATATTATAGTAACATGTATTACATATAAAAATACGAAACGTGCAAAAGTCGATAACCTGAATTGATAATGCAGTTCAAGGAAAAATAATACTGTACTTAATATCAATCTACTTTATTGGAATTATTTCCCTTTAATCATAATAGACACATTTATTTCGGAAGGATTTTGAGAAACATCATGTTAAAGGGAGACTAGTCATATAGTCAAGTATATCATCTTTACATGTGTAATTTCCCTTTGATCAGACAGCAATATATATATTAAGAAATATGGTCTGTAATTTATTTATTTCCAACTATATATTAAATAGGCCACGGACTTTGTCTTAAAAATGGAACGAAAAGGAACAAAATAATGAAATAAAACAATAAATAATATGACATTGAGTTGGCAAAAATTTTTACGTAAAAATCCTTATTTAATCATTCAAATCCGAGCTTGGTATTGTCCTTTTGAACATAGAAAATTAAACATTCAAGAAGTAGTCGGAATCTGTACAGAGAGTTACACTTTAACAAAACCAACAACAACGAAAGTATTATTTTTACATTGATAGGTGAGGTAACGTTTTCTTTTGAACATAGCAATTTAAACATATTGAAATAATGTAAGAAATGTTTGAAGTCTTACCATGTACTTAAATTTTGACGTTTTATAATTCTAACCATTTATTTAATATTTTCTAATTCCCATTGACTTGATGAATTGGTGTTATATAGATCTATTGTGTTTAGATTTGTATTAAAACTTCGTGTTAAAGGTTAGTGACATATAGTACAAAGACAGAATATGCTGCATTAGGATGTGCTAGGTGAGCGCGATATATCACAAAGACATAATATATGCTGCTTTAGACGGTGCTTGGTGGGTGAGATATGTTAACTTAGGCTTAATTTACTGCTTAAGACTTTGCTTGGTGGGTGAGATACATTAACAAAGACAAAACATGCTGCATTAGACGATGCTAGGTTGGTGAGATATGTTAACAAAGACTGAATATGCTGCTTTAGACGGAGCTAGGTGGGTGAGGTATGTTGACAAAAAATGAATATGCTGTTTAGGTCGGTGCTTGGTTGGTGAGATAAGTAAATGAGGACTGAATTTGCTGCTTTAGACGGTGCTATGTGGGTGAGATATGTAAACGAAAACTGAATATTCTGCTAAAAGCGATTCTAGGTGGTAGGATTCAAACCCGCAGCGGTGTTTACCAAGTGACATACACTACTCGACGAAATACATCCCTAAAATTGGTGGTTTGTTAAGTTTCTGAAGAGATCAGGTTATATTACATAAATACATGCCATCTTGCTGTTGAAAATATTTCTAATTTACTTACAACATAAATACACTATTACATCGAAGATGCATTGATAACACAAGATTTTCAATATATTACAGCCCCACATACTTTATTGATACTGAATAATATATTACATGTATTGGTCGAGTTTTGTCTACTCTCTGAACGAATGTTGGTGTCAAATGTACCATTACAGAAATCATCCCTAGTGGTGGTAGCCTGTAACAGCCCGACACTTGATCAAATTGAATTTTATGTATCAATGGCTTTATATCTCTTCCCAGTTAACGGTTACTAGTATATTGCATATTGTTAATTTCAAGGACAATTTTTACTGGATTCCGAAGAGGCACTTTTTGTTTCACAGTGAAGGTCTTTTCTAATACAAACAAAAATCAAGTTTCATTATACATTAAAGACTGCCAAAATTATCACAAGACGCAAAGATAGAGTCCTGAAAGAACGGCCAACACGATTAAAAAATCTTTGCATGTACACGTTTGATTGAGTCTGTTCATAAACGGTAGTAGCCCCCGCCCGTGTTGCCTTTATAAGTAATGGCACCATAATTACCACTGTTTATCCCTGCATGATCGTAAGATTCCAATTAAAGTATTTTAGATACTGGAGTATATATGCATCTATTAGCTCAAACAGTGAGGTGGTTTTTATTCCCTGGTTTTCGCTTTGAAGTATGTAGCATCTAGGTCAGCCAAACCAGCTTTCGTGTTTTGGCGCCGTATGCCCTTCATTGTGTTGGTGCGACTAAGCAAAATATGCACACAGATATTCAACGACGACTTGTGAACGGTTTCAGCAGAATTGAACATTCAACATGAAATGGTATTTTTTTTATTTAGAAACATCCGCATGTGTTCATACGGCGGAACGGAATTTTAAGTGCTAAACGCTATTGCTATTCCTTGAATTTGGGAGTGTGATCCCGAAGTAAAAATAACCGTGTTCTTACCCTTGATCTATTTTGAGATAATTGTTGAAAGAACCTACATTATAGATCCTCAACATCGTTTTATTATATCCCTTTTATTGATACGCAACTAGTTTGTTTATACGTAAAGCTGATGATTAAATTATCTTAGAAAATCAATTAAAGGGAGGTTAAAGATGTGACTAAATACGCCATAGCAACGAACCTGTTCATAGAAAAATAATCATTTGATTAAAAGCAAATTATATCCACCGTGTAGAGACAGAAATGGAATCACAGTTTCATAAATTGTGTTACGGTATTAAATTGTTCGTAGCTCTGTAGGTAGTGACGCATTACAGCATTGAATTCTTATTTTCTCTTTGCAATGGTCCAGGGTTCGAGCCCTCTTCAATGTTTTCTCACCCTGTGATATTTTGCGCTCAGCATGATAACGTGAGGAAATAAAACCCCGAGATGAATTTTAACAAAGCTTTCTGCCCCCATTATAAATTTGTACATGTTTTTCAATAATGATAATGTTCTAATTAAGCAAAGCTGTCTGTATGTAAACTGTTGTTTTTAGAATATTTTCTCATTTTCGTAAACTGTTATTGTTACTTGTTATGGATATTTTCGAGTATTCATGTAGAATGTTTGCCTTATATTGAACTAAAAATTATATTTAAGTGCATTTGTCTGAAAAAGATGCCAATGCATCTTGTGAACTTCATATAAATACAATAATAAATATAACAATCATATTATTTTAAAACATTATTCATGAATATTTCAGAAATTGAGAATTTGAAAAAATCAAGTGCCCGATGAGTCACATGAAAATTTAAATGAATATTTTCCCGCGTTGTTTTGATAAATAATCATATGATCTTCCGGATTGATGTTTTGTGTGTGAAATTTCGAGTGCTTTATATAAACATTTTCATCGGTTGATATAAATTTTAAAAAAACCAATTTCATTTTAATTTACCATGTATAAAGATTATCATAATATACAAGTATATTGTAAGTTTGGTTATTAAACTTTCATGTATTCTTTAAAAAGATACATGATTTTGTATTTTGTGCAAATTTGTGTGCGTTTAAGTTATGTAAGTACATTATTCTTTATTCTAAATGAATATTAAAATTTATATGAAACTTATAAAAAAATAAAATTTATATCTATGCAATATTTATCTTTTATTTTATTTTATATTTAAATGTTTGGGTTTACTTTGGAATATCCTCTTGATAGTAAATATATAACATATTTCATAACAACGCAGCTTGTTGCAATGTCATGTGACCGGATGTTTTTTCTTTTATTTACATACGCATGCGCAATCTACGCATTAATTAAAAGGAAGAGATCATGATATAAGATAAGCATTAACATGCTGTCTCTACTAAGGTTACTGTACATTTAGTATCTCATTGACCGCCGTACAGTGACCTACTTTTGACTAAAAATTCCTATCTTTGGCTAATACTCCGTGAAAAATGCATAGAGGTGAATTATCACCACTTTGTGCTTAAAAATTAACTCTTTAAAGGCATAACTGGTGACATGTCCGGGGTCCGTACTCGACAGCGAAAGCTGTGTTTTGTGCCCTTACGGGCGGATAGATCCTCCCTAAGCAA